GTGTTTCCTGAGTGCCTAGCGACAGGCACTGTCAGAGGTCCTGATGGTGCCTAGCCAATGAGAGACGAGCATGAGATGCCAACTGTTTAACCGATGAGAATGCCTGGGTGCTGGAGGAGGTATATAAGCTTTTCCTCAATGTTAAATAAACGAGTCTGCTGTAAACCTTCTGCCTGACTCCCGGCATCTATGGTTGTTGACATCACGCCTTTTCCCCCCTCCCCCCGAGGAAGATGTTAGGACCCAGCAATACTAGTGCACCCTTGCTGTGGGTCTGCTCTGTGACTGTGACAGAGTCCTAATGCCAGGGGACAATTACAGTTCAGGGTTACTCTAATGAAGATGAATGCAAGCAGCATTCATGGCGAGAGCCTCGGGCTTCAGCTTCAGAGTGACCTCTGAGTACTCTGTGGTGGAAAGTGCACGGGGACTGAACCCTGTTGGTGAGAGATGGTGTTTTTGCTTTCACAATGGATCTGATGGTCCGCTGAGTAGAACATGTGATCCTGGGACCCACGCCAGTCTGTCTTTGCAACCGGTCACATTACGACCCGAGGATGTTATCCAGCTACTAGACCTGGTGTCCGTGTCCGTGTGTGATGGTTCTAACTTCTGCAGTCTCTCTGATCACAGTTTAATTCTCATCGGATGGAGTGTTCAATGCTTAGGTTCAGATGGTTCATCCCAGGGTGTGCATTAAGCACCTGCTGGATACAAAGCATGGCTACCAGGGCTGAGGACACGACATCACAGCTGCAGGAAACAGGTGCTGTTGTAGGTTCTGGGGATGCAACCAGGGCCATCACAGTTCCTCATGGAGTTAAAGGCTCACCAGCGAGGCAGATTTGTCAGCTCACAGCTCTGAGAGTATATCCAGGTAAATGAGATGGGTATAGTCTAGGGGAGGCAATCTTCCCAGGGCAGAGACACCAGAGCTGAGTTCTAAAAGCAGCACATAAGTGAGCAGGGAGAGGGAGCAGGACATCTCCCGGTTAGGAGCATTGGTACTACAAAGGCCCTGGGGTGGGGTGTGTGCCGTTGAGGAAGTGAAGGTTCTATAGAGAGTGAAGAGATGAAGTTGAGACCACAGTGTTCAGAAAGGCAGGCCTTTGGTGGTCATGATGAGACTTCTGTATTGAAATGGAGGGAAAATTAGAGATTGGTCCCCTCAGTTCTAGCTTTGAGACAGCATCACCCACCCACCCCTTCTGCAGCTCAGACTCTGCAGGCTGTACTGTGGCTGGGCTCTGCTGGGGGTTTTCTGGTCTGGGCTGCAGCTTGCTTCTTTAGATTCGGCCCTTTATCGTTTTTTTCCCTCCCCCATTCAGTGATGCTCTAGGCATGGAAGTGGATGTGGGAGACAGGAGGAAGCCTTTCTCCAGCTGCCACTCCATGTGCCTCAGGCAGGAAGGAGAGAGAGGTGTTGTGTTCAGAGTCCCCAAGAAACAGCACACCTAGGCTCTGCCCATGGGTGGCCTGTTGCCAGAGACACTGGAGTCTGCAAATGTCTTTAGAGCAGAGACAGGGTAAAGAGCTTAGTGGTTAAGGTCGCGGACTCCAGAGCTACATTCTGTGTTCAAATCCCAGTTCCTCCACTTCCACAGAGACATCTTCTCTGTGTCTCAGTTCCCCATAGGTAAAGCGGATTACAACAGTCACAGCTGCGCACTAACCAGGGTGGGTTTTGCTGCACATAAACTACGGGAGGAGAGGGAAACAGCGTGTGCGGAGGCTACGGGTGGAGCTGTGGCTCAGGGGCGGGGCGGCAAGCGGGGGGGGGGGGACAGAACAGGAGGTGATGGTCTCAGCTGCCAGTAGCAAGATGCCCAGGTGCGGGGCAAGCGCCGGATGGCAGCTGAATGGAAACAGCTGCTTATTTCAGAAAGATTGCTGTGTCTTCTTAGAACCCTCCCTCCTCATTTGAATTTGTGAGCAAAATGGAAAGCCCAGGAGACTGTCTTCAGACTCCTGTCTTCCCTGTCCAGGAGACACACGCTTCAACTTGCCCCTCCCGGACTCGCTCCCATCACCTCCCTGGCCCTGCAGGTTTTCTCTTTTTTTTGACCCCAGAATCAAAAGATGGGAAGGAGGAGATCCAGGGCAGCCACATTCCCTACTCCTGACTTGAACACAGACACCATCTGGTTTGCAGTATCCCCCAAAGGCTTAGTGGTGAAGGTACCGTTAGGAGGTAGTTACACCTCTACACCATACTGGGGACTGATAATGGGGTCACAGCTCCTTTTCCTCTCTTTCCTGGCTGCAATGCTGTGAACAGGCCTCCTCGGCCACATGCTTTCCTATAATGCACCATGGTGCCACAGGCCCAGACAGGCAGGGCCAAATGACCAATGACTGAACACTCGGGAGCCAGTCCCCTCCGCAAGCCTCGTCTCTCAGCTGATTGTTACAGGTATTTTGTCTTCAACACGAGGCTGGCACGATCTGGGGACTTTAAAAGCAACTGACTCGTAGTCCACAGAGTGGGGTAGCCGGGGCGCCTGGAGTGTTACATGTTTCCTAGAGATTCTGCTGAACAGGTGTAGGGGAAGACGGAGCTATGGGTTGGGTGTCTTGGTGGATAGGAGGGGTGTCAGGGACTATGGGACACAGTGTCTCACTCAGGGTCCTGCTGGGACAGTTGGATATGAGGATGCATCTGTGGTGGGAGACATGAGAGGTGGTTAGAGGAAGGGAGCAGGCTTGGTCTTGGTGTCACTGTGCCTAAGAAGCCTGTGGCTTCCATGATGAGACACAGTGTACAATTTCAATCTGTGGGCTCATCTTTCTAACGGAGGAGGGGTGGCTGAGTCTTCCTCAGCGAGGCATGCAGAAAGTGGCGGGGAGGGGGGGCACTCAGTGCTGCGGCTGAGTATTTGTGCCCGCTCAACATTTGTGTGTGTATGTGGGTCACATGTAGGCATATGTTCATGTGTGTTTGCACGAGTGTGTGTGGGACAGAGGTTGATGTTGGGTGACCTTGCCAGGATCTCTCATTGGATCAGGAGCTTACTGGCAGACAGTGTGGCCAGCCAGAAAGCCTCAGGGATCCTCTTGTTCCATCTCCCTAGGACTAGGATTGCAGGTGTGTATGACCTCAGACGTTTTTTTTTTTCCATAGATTCTGGGGATCAAGCTCAGGTCTCCATGCTTGGACAATAGCACTTTGCTGGCTAAGCCAGTTCTGGACTCCTATATCGAAGTGGAATCTCCCAACATAAGGTGTTTGGATCACAGGGGTGAAGGCCTCAAGAATGGGATTAGCATCTTGGTGAACTATGTCACAGTGTCTCACAACAGGGGCCTGCTGCCATTCCTCCCTGTGACATTACAGGGCAAAGGTAGCCATCTATGATCAAGTGGCCCCTCCTGTCAGTGCCTTGGACCTTAGCCTGAAGCCTGCAGGAAACAGTGACTCTGAAAATGCATCTCACCCCAGGTGACTGGCTTGGCAGCGGTCCCTGCTGTAGCTGTAGCTGGGTCTCCAGTGAGTTTGAGCTACTTTCCCCATAGCCTGGCTAGGAAGACACACACAGACCCAAGCACGCGTGACCTCTCCAGATACTGTTTATTGTCTTCGGTGCCCCCCTCCACTTTCCTTCTGTCGCCTATGGATGTTTTGTTGCCTCTGCCCTCTTTGTGTACCCGCTTGTTCCCTAGATCTCTAAGCTTAGTCTGGGAAAGGGTCCCACTGTTCCGAGAAGGGAAGGGGCCAGGACCTCAGGCCTTCTACCCGCTTAGACAACATCCATCCATGGCCTGGAGTTTCCACCCCAGCAGTTCCTGGTAGATTAATCTCTGAGTCTGTGCAGCAGTTACCATGGCATTGTGCCGCAAGGAACAGGGCTCCAACCCTCTGAGCAAAGGCCTGTCCCTAGCATCTCACTTTTGCTTTCAAAGACCCACATAGGATCACAAATAGTGCCTTGAACCTTTGGTCCTGGATGGCATCGGGGTGCAGCTGTCCAGAAAGAACTAGACAGGGAGGTACTGTTCTCCCATGGGGAATGCTCTTTGGGGGAAATGACAAATCCCCTCACAGGTTCGCTCTGGACATTTCACTCCTGGGCTAGTGGGACTTGCAGCTGCACCCGATGGTCCCCCAGATGAGCTGGGCTGCTGAGAGTCGTGGGTGTTCTCTGTGTATCACGTCCCCAGGTTGGTGCCTCTGTGGGCAATACCTGCGGTGACAGAGACTGAGCACGGTCCTCATCATCCCAGATACTTCTGGACCTGGGCCACTCCCGCCCGGCACAGGCATCATGCCTTTCTTCAGAGCACGCGCTGGTTGTCGGTGGCCCTCATTGTTAACAGTGGGTTCACCATGGAAGGTTCCACCTTCTAACGGCAAGTTAACACAGTTGTCTGTTGTCACTACGGGTCTTGGTGCTGATGGATTTGATGGGGCTTATGGATAACCTGTGCCGAGGTTCACGGTACTCGATGCTCTTCCCATCAAGGTGGTTTTGATACAGGCGGCCCAGCATGGATGATGGTTCCTGCTCCAGTTCTTACAATAGCTTCCCATATAGATGGCCACACCGCCTATTTCTCAGCAGAGGATCCTGCGTGTGACATATCTGTTGCTGGTCATTGCTGCAGAAGACACGGCACCCACTTCTTTAGTTTTTCCTACGTTGTCAATGAATGTCCCAGGTGAATCCGGGCTTTTTGGGTCCTCGTGTTTGGTATGAGCAGGAGCTGGTGAGTTTCCTCATAAAGGCCTGGGCTTCTGGGTGGGCTCCTCAGCCTGGGTGGGCTGGCTGCCACTTTCCACAGTGTCCTTGGCCTTGCCTTCTGGGAGATTGTTGTTGCTTCTTGGCTTGCCCTGCTCACTGCAGTCTACCCCAATGTTATGGCTGCTGTTGGCCTTGCTGGAGGTCCTGCTGCTCGTGGAGCTGAGAAGGACACTGCTCACCTGGTAGGACAGGAAGCTGCTGCCTGGGCTCAGGACGCTGATGCTACTCAGGCTGCTGCTTCTGCCGCTAGGCAAGCTGGTGTCACTTTTCCCCTCCAGCCTGCTGGGTGCCCTGGCCTCGACTGTTCCGCCTTCGGATCTTTAACGCCCTGGGTGAGGAGGCGAGGAGCAGCTCACTGCTCTGGGTGCTGTCCACCTGAGGGGTGAGCCGCTTTGTCAGCCTCACCGCCTGCTTGCTGCTCACCAGGCTGGCCTTGCTGCTCTCCTCATCGGCTGCGTAGCCGCTGCTCGACAGGGTGGAGGTACTGCATGTTTCTGACTTGAGGTGCCGTGTGTTCTTCTTGAGGCTCTCAAGGCTGTGGGGTGTGTCCAAGGTGCTGTGGACAGTCCTTAGAGGCTTCTGAATGGTTGCTGCATGGCTGGACCCCACATGTGGTTGGAGCTCTAAGCTGGGTAACGAGGGGCTTGGCCTTTGCTCTTGAGCATTCCAGACAGAGGAACCCCCCTTTTCCGCCTTAATGGCGGGGGGCAGTGAGATTGGTTTCTCCAGGAGAGGGCCCTGGAGGCCTCTGAATGTTGCTGGTGGCCTGTCTGGGGAGAGGTGTCTTAGTGCTTGTTCTCATTGGCCAGCTTGGTTCCCATGGTGATGGCAGCTGTGAGGCGGGTGGGGGGCAGGGAGGGAGGGGTGAGAGAACAATGCCTCTCTGACAGCAGTTAGTCACATCAGTGGCAATGACCAGCTTGGGCAGAAAAGGGGTTCATGGCTATAGTGGGTGTGCTAATCCCTGTGACAGAAGACCCTAGAGAAGCTGAAGGGTTTGGTCCACCGTTTCTGGAAGTTTCAGTCCATTATGGTAGCCAGCACATATAAGCAGGGAAGACCCCTGAGCTGCAGGCTTTCTCCTTTTCCCCTTAGTGCCCTTCAGGTACCCAGAGGGATGCTGCTGATACTGAGGGTGATTTCCCCCATGGAAACACATGTGTAAACACACCGAGAGTCCGTAACACTGATGTCCTAGGTGCTTCTTCATCGAGAAGACCATCCAGTGTGTGGGGGCTGCCTTTTGGGGAGAATTCCTGAGGGGCTTAGGGCCTGCTTTCCAAGCCTTTGCCCCCTTGCTGAAGGGGTTATGAGGACCGTAGTGAATCCAGTCAAGTGGAGCTCCTAATTCCTTGCCAGATCTCCAAGGTCCTGCTGAGTCAGGGCCAGTTTTATCACAGGGACTCCTTACCTTGCCTGCTCTCATGAATGCAGGCATGCTGGCCACTTCTTTCTTTCTTGAAAATTCTTTGATCTGAGGACATGGCTCAGTGGGTAAGAGCACTTTCTGTGCAAGCATGAGGACTTTAGTGTGCTGATATTTTGTTTGTGCTTTAACAAACTCTAATAAGCTTGTCTAGCGACATTCTGGGCTACACGAGATCGATCCAGTCTAAAAGAGAAACAGAGCCAGGTGGTGGTGGCTCATGCTTTTAACTCCAGCACTTGGGAGTCACACGCCTTTAATCCCAACACTAGGGAGGTGGAGACAGGAAGGAATATGCCTGGGCAGAGAGAGGAAAGTAAGTGCGAGGAGATAGGAGCTCAAGGCATTCCGGCTACCTCATTTGGTCGGAGGAGTAGAAGTGAGAACAAGCGGCTAACTGCTCTGCTTCTCTGATCTCCAGACAAGCTTTATTTGTTAGAGCAGAAACAAAATATCACCACCCTTTAGTAAAATGTTGGGTGTGGCCATAGGGAGCCTGTAATCCCAGTGGTGTAGGGGAGTAGAGGCAGGAGGAAGGCTGGGATTGGATGGCCACCAGCTTGGCTTCAAGTTCAGTGAGAGACCCTGGCTCTAAGGTGCAGAGTTACAGGACAGGACATGGAGAGTTATAGAGCAGACACTTGATGTCCTCTTTTGACTCCTCCCCCTAACACACATACATACTGTACCTACCTACCTACCTTCATGCATACATAGTATTTATAGGTATGTAGATTACATGTAATGTTGGGTTTCAAGTTTGTCCTATATTTGACCTTGCTCACCCTCTTACTCTCCTCTTCCCCCCTCATCGCTCTGCTCCTGTTACTCCCCTTCCTTCCCTCAGTTCTGTATAACATTATACACTCACACTCACATACATACACGAAAGTTTTATGTATACATATAAAGTTTTACGTATCTCTAAATGTGTAGGATCTACAAACGAGAGGAAATACACTATTTGTCTTTCTGAGTCTGGCTTATTTTGTTTCCTGATCTCTGGTTGCTAACAACACAATCTCAGTCTTTTTTTTTTTTTTTTTTTGATTTTCAAGACAGGGTTTCTCCGTAGCTTTTGGTTTCTGTACTGGAACTCGCTCTTCTAGACCAGGCTGGCCTCGAACTCACAGAGATCTGCCTACCTCTGCCTCCTTGGAAAGGAGTTGGGAGGTGGGAGGTACTGTGTCCTGAGGAGATGGTCCACTGACATTGCCTGATTAGACTAAGATGCTATATTCTTCTGTAGCTCAGGAATCAGGGGTGTCTGGAAGCACAATGGGTTTCACTAGTATATGAAGTACTGTGGCCACTTGTCCTGCCTGTAACCCTTTTCTGTTTAGGGCTTTGCTATCTGGAGGGGCTTGTTCCAAGGAGAAGGAACCTGGCTCTTTTAAATGCTGTGATGGAAGAGAGGCTGCAAGTGGGCATGACTAATCAGCTCTTCATAGCAGCCACTAAAGAGAGACTGCATTCAGAGGGTCTGGGTTCTAACGATAGTCATTGATAAGTGGCTTTTAAAGGTGCTGGCAATTAATCAAGTTTATATGTGCAACTTCCAGCGCACTACTGTTACACACCTGCTTTCCTCAACAGAAGAAAGATGTAAGGGAATTCTAGCCTTAACTCATGGGAGATGGATGGCCCCACTGCTTTGCCTGGGGCAGGCTGGCTTGCTGTGTTTGTATCACAGGGAGAGAAAAGGTGCTCCTTGGAGAGAGGAACGTCCAGTCTCCTGATAGCCATCAACACTGTCACTGCTGATTGTCACTGTCATCCCTGTTTCAGGGGACCGTCCAGCTTCCATGTTCTGTACAGAGATATCCTTTTGTCCAGAACTGGCAATCCTTCTCAGGAAAAGAAGGGGAGTAGTTGATCTTCTATCTGACTGACTTCCAGTCTTGGGCTCCTACCAGGGACTGGGAGGTAGAGGTGCTTGGTGCCTTTAGAGGTAAAGCTTAGCGTAAGGGACATGGTGGACTGATGAACCAGACTGCTTCCATCTTAGGCTTGAAAGCCATCTTATAGTAAAGACAAACTAGGTTTATTCCTGGTTATGGAGAAACCTGTTTCTCAAGGATTAGGCCATCTTAACTACAAATGGTTCTGTGTTGCCTGTTCCAGGAAACAGCAACCCTGCCTTAGTTTCAAAAGGTTGTTATGACTAGCTTGTTATGACCACCTTGCAACTATGTCTCTGTTTCAGGTTGTTATGACCAACTTGTTATGCTTCTGTAACCTTGCCTATTTGCTAAATTCCCCATTTGGAAACCCCTACTCCTGAACTATATAAACCCTACCTTCCCCATGGTCAATACTAATCTCTTGAACCCAGACCTTAAGGAGAAACAGTTGTATTCACAAACAAAATAGCTTTTTTTTAAAATTAATTTGGCCATGATAATTTGGGTCTGTGGTCTTTCTCCTTGCATTTGCAGGATTAGCAGGATCCAACAATGTAGGCAGTGGGAGCTGCAGTGGGGTCTTGCCTGTGAGAAGCAGAGAAGGGAGCACTGCATAGGTGGTTTAGGGATTCTTTCCCCCAACCTCTTTTCTTCCTCTTCCTCCCCCTCCTCCTCCTCCTCCTCCTCCTCCTCCTCCTCCTCCTCCTCCTCCTCCTCCTTCTTCTTCTTCTTCTTCTTCTTCTTCGAGCTGAATTACAGGAGAGCACCACCATGCTTGAGTTTTAGGTGGTGCTGGAATCAAGCCCAAGGGATTCATGCTAGGCAAACATTTTACTGAGCTATCCCCAGCCTCTCATAGCTGGCTTTCCATAGATGAATAACCATGTGTCTGGACACTGCCAGTGTGTGTTCTACAGGGTTTAGTTTTTTTCCCCAAAGGTTCTTATGTTTTCTTGTCATGCTTATTCCTACACTAAAAAGTCTCAGTGTAAAGTGTCTGGATAGGACACTACCATTTCTCATATTCTGAGGAAGAGAGCAGCACTCAAGTTAGCTTCAGAAAACTGGTCCTTAGCTGCAGCCCTCTAATGCAACATCCATCTCCAACACTGCTGCAGAAACATTTGCTGTCCCAGGCACTACTGTCCCAAGCTTGTTCACTAATCCACAATGATGTCTAGATTCTTATTCCATCTTTCCTTCCACAGGCATTCATGGGGTCTTCCTCAGTGTTAGGTAGGACATTATTTCCTGCCCTCAGTGAGTTGATAGTCATGGAGGGAGGCAGACAGGAATAAGCAAGCAGATGTGTTATGGGAGAATAAATGTTAGAACAATGAGGTAGAACAAGGGAGGTGTGTGTGTGTGTGTGTGTGTAAATGCTTGAATCCATTCCTGCAATTAGAACAAGCAAGTTCTAGAGGTGGAAGTCATACAGAAGCCACAAGGAGGGTGAGAGTGTGTTCTGGAAGGGCTTTGGCATTTCTTTGGAGTGCCCCGGGAGATGCTTGAACTTTCCAGCAGATCTAGCTTAGGATGTCCTATGAAGGATAGTCTGGAGGGTCAGGACAAGGGGGCAGGAGCTGGCATGATAATCTTGGGGCCAGGCTATCTGGGTACTCAGAGTGACTGGTGTAGCAATCTTGGGCATGAGGTTACTTGGGACAGGGCAATAGAGACAGGAATGGTGGGTCTCTGGCATTCTGTGATTCAAAACCTGTGACCACCACTGAGGTGACATTGCAGGGTCCATTTAACTTCCCCAAACTCAGTTCCTACACATGGAGAATGAGTGGTAGCAGGGGCATTGCCCCTCACAGGGTGATAGGATTGACACAGGAGTTAAGACCAGCCTGCTCCTTCGGGCTCCACCACATGGTGCTTCAGCCCAACTGGAACCTTCTGGTTTAAAACAGAGTATATGTGTGTAATGTATGTGCATAGGAATAACACATAGCCATGTGTGGACATAGACATATGTGTACAGGAATACATGTGAGTGTACATGTATGCAAATGTGCAATATTTGGTTTTTGACAATTTAGTGCATGGCATGTATATACTAACTTTGGGCATTTTTACTCTATTGTCCTCTCCCTCAGGCCCCCACTGAAGCCTGTCTTCCTCAAAACAATCCTCCTTTTCCTTTGATCTCTGTCTTTTTTCCTTTCTTTGGATCCTTCAGCATGGGAGAAGGGCTTATGGATACTCCTCCATGCCTGGAAATGAAATGGTGATGAGGCTGATCTCATACAGTCTGTTGGGTAGCCATAGCTGCAGTGGGTCATGAAAATTTCAGTTAACTAATTTTAATTTATTTTTGATAAATTCATATATTAATACAATGTATTTAGATTATATCTACCCCCTTCTCTTCCTCTCCAACTCTCCCAGGACCCATCTACACCCCCCTTTTTCTTTTAAAAAGTAACTCACGAGTCAAATTAGTGCTGCTTCTATGTGTATGTGTGT